TAGATGCGGCTTGCAGGTGAGCAAAGGTTTTCCATCACTGGGAAAATCTCACGGAGTTGATAAGACATTCTACTCTCAGCAACGGGCAGAATCTCGCTCCTGCTGTTGAAATAGGCTACGACGAAAAAGAATGCGATCGCCAGAGCCTCGGCAGCTTGTGGGGGGGAATTAGGAAACCTGTAGAAGAAAGGCTCCAATCCGGGGGGCCGTGTATAGACCAGCTCGTCGCTCATCGGCGCGGCTGACGACCCTCCAGGGTGCTCACTTCTCTGCGCGGCTGATTGGTGGTTGCCAGGAGCATTCGGCTTATAAGGCTATGCAGGTGCAAAACGAGCCTTGATAGTAGCGACTTCAACGTCATAAGGGAATAGAACATTTATGACAACTCGGAATGGGCATGTGCAATATAGCAGAAACGAGTCCAGTCGCTACGCTGCGAGGAAATCCACTGTGGGCCCTGAACTTGTTACTCGAGACCTGCCTGCAAACCAGAACTGCCCTTCCAACCAGAAATACGTCTGAAACAAGGAGGTTGGGCCTCTTGGCCACCCGAGCCCAAGCGCCCTGCGGCCACAAAAGCACCCCTACCTGCAGGGGCACAGTCGCTGGGTGTTTTAAAGGACCTTCGGCCAACGCATAGGTCTTACAATGACAGCTGGTACCGCCATTACGGCACCACAGTTCATGTTCCTTTAAAATACTTCGTACGTAGCAGTTACTAGAGTAGCATGGCTTTTATGACTATTTGCGTTGCTAGGAGGTGGAAGTCGTAGCAAAAAGGCGGGCGAATAATTGTCAGTCTGACAGAGGTTCCAGATCTTGTGCCAGCACATCTCGTTATGCAAGCAGAAGTGGCTTCACAGCTGTACTGCCTGGATGTAATCGCGGTATATCCCGGTATGGACAAACATCAAAACACGATTGTTCCCATTGTCCTGACTTGTATGGCACATGCATTGCGCAAATCGTTATGAAGGATGAAGGACCACATTAAGAAGTCGTACAAGGCCTGTGAAAGGCTTGCCATGAGTTCGATAGACTAATTTGTCTCTCAGTTTCTTTCTGGAACCCCGCTTCTTCCACTCAGCCTCATTGCTGCGATTTGACCACTCTGAGCCCATTTCCAAATCAGGCCAGGGAAATGGCCTTGAGGAAAAGGGATGGAAGGCCAGCGGAGAAAGTCTATAGTTTTTCGATCCTGCAGCCTAGGACCTGGAATCTCATGACGGGCAGAAAGGGCAACAAGGCGGCAACTAGAGACCTAAACATCTTCGTGACAAAATATTTCATGATTGTCCAAGGCACTGCTGACAATGTAGCCGCAGTAAGACGCTGTCTCCACCTTAACGCAAAGGCTTCTCTCAGAGCCGGCAACCCTACGTTGAGAGCGGGTCTGGACAAGGGACAGCACCAAGGATGCCAAGGGCTTTGAGGACGACTCTAAGGCCTTTGTACAAATCAACATGCCCACGCCACTTCTGTGAGGACTGTCAAGTCTGAAGCCACATGGCAGGGCTTGGACGAGCGTTCAATGATGCTTGGACTGCTTGGATAGCTGCAATATTCACTGTCCCTCCATGGAGAATCTTGAAATTCTTAAATGACTATCCATGTAGACCACACGTTCCTCTTACAAGTATCAAGCCTTCCAAGACAGGGAGCTTTCCCTTGCCGGGAGTTGCTGTGGATGTGGCACCAGCAGCAGCTCGCTGCGTTGGGTGTGCTCTCCCTGCATTCAGCAGCGGCCAGACAGGAAAATCGGCCAAGTTTCAGACATCGGGCCAAATGTTTTGGGCAAAGATCCCACCAACTAGACCGACATCGAGCCAAGGCAAATTGTGTTGTCAATCTGGCAATCGAATTACGACACTCTCTGTCCGAGCGTCTCTCCCTTGGAGCTGCTGTTTCATCTCTGTATGCCCCTAACAGTTCCAGTGCGTGTCACGCCCTCAACCGTTCTATCCTATCAACCTGTCGCCAACACCTCAAGTTCAGGACAACACAGTTCATGAATTGGGGCTGATGAGTTGGGGTTTAGGGCTTGGACCTTCACGACTTGAGCAAGTCCGACAAACGCCCCGAGACCCAGCGCCTCTGACCCCCTCAAATCCGAAGACGTGTCTGAATAGCTGCTGCAAGGGTCCCCCCTGTCCGGCATAGGTGGCCAAAGAAGGTGTGCATGTGGGCATTACCCGCATGGCTACACAAGCGCATTCCTGATTCATGAAGGTTGACCACGAAGGGCATCTGCGTCCAAAATGAAATGGGGCGCCCTACCCTACCCCGCTTATTTGTGTTGGTGTGTCTCAGTCTCAGGCCTTTGGCACTCTTGAGATGGCATTTGTACGTTTTTCGGCATGCGAGCTTTCTGGAGGGCCCACACGCACTCTCAGCTTCTGAGCCCAGAAAGTCCAACTGCCTCGGTGAAGGGCAGTCGCCGGGCGAGTATCCGCGTGCCGCAGAGGCTGAGGCGCGAAGCGGAGTTTGGGGTTCCGGGCTTGGGGAGAGGTGGAGGTTCACATGAGCATCTAGCAGATGTTCGAAGAAAACTGCTTCCAACCCACGTCTTGCAATTCATGAAGAGCCATTGTCCTTCAACCACGAAGGATGGCACATTATTTGCCAGAAGCAAGATGCCATCCCCCCCATAAATGCCTGCAGAAAGACGAACATCCTGGGGACTTCGATGTGTTAAGGAGGAATACAGACGGCGAAGCAATGCAAGCAAGTGCCTCTCCGGGATCAAACTGTTTGAAGGTGCGGCGCTGGCTTGTTGAGGATTTATTCGGAGCATCAGAGCTTGGAAAGACTGTGGAACTTTGAAAGCTTGAGCTAATGAAGGTCCTATTCTCTCTCTCAGATTGCAACAGCTTGTTAATAATACTCAAAGCCCGCTTAGCCATTACGCTAAAAGCCAGGCATGCTGTTTGTTAGTACCCTCCGAATCGGACTCCGTAACAAATCAAGTGAAGAGTCAATTCCACAACCTGTCAATACCGACCATGTTAACTTGAACCGAAAGGAACTCATGAGGAAAAGCCTCATGCAAGTCTTTTGTGCCAGCTTCATTGTCCCCGGTACAGTCTGACGACTGAATCTTGACAAAAGTCCGTATCCAGCAGTGAATTCCATAGACAATTCTTTCGATGGCTCCTGGCAACTGGTCCTCATTCCCTGGTACATTCGACTGTGGCCCACCTGCATCTCTAACTCGCATGGAAGCTTGACACCCTAAACCCCAAATCGTAGTTTCCAAATTCAATGTTCATTTGTTTTTCCGTTTGATTCGCCATTATCCTCTGTAATCCCCTCCTTCTCTCCATCCCACCTCGCTCCGCCGCGCCGGGCCAGGTGCGGCGAACAGCGGCGCTGCGGCGAAGGCCTCAAGCCGTAGATGATCAACAGCAGGCGTCAATTTTGCGATCCTGAGGGTTAGGGACCGTTTACTAAACGGAACAACAACTTGAAGAGACGCTGATTGTAACAACCCCTCAGCAGGTGCCCAAGCTTTCAAAGATAGAGTGTTTTTCAGAAACTCGTATTCAAGGATGCCGAGCTTCTAAGACATGGCGGTTGGAGATTGGGCATGGAGGACATTGGAGGCGTGAGGGCTTCCATGTAGGATTCTTAAGGGATATACTTAGAGACTGTACAGGGAGTCTGCATGCCAATCAAGCTCTGGTTGCTTCGGACATCAACTGCCAGTTCTCAGAAGGAGCATGCTGCCTGCTGTTAGCAGCATTGGATTTCGCCAAGTACAGCCACTCTTTCTGCAGCTATAATTGCGTTGCTTTTGTCACGCGGCTACTATAATATATTCTAGTCGCAACGCACCAACCCAATCCAGCCGTTCTGTGCCTTTGGGGCGAGTGGGGCGGTCGTGGTTTTGCTACGACTGTTCTTCTCAGCGCTGCCACCTTCAGAATTCTACTATCCTGTTACCGCTAAGAGTGCTACTGCACCTTTGCTTGTCACATGCATAAACCCTAAACCCTTGCAACGGACCCCTTAACCCCCAATGCCAACATGACAAGTATTCTTACAAATGAGTGCCGATACCATGACTAGTATGATTTTTCTTCTTTAAGCATTGGTGGCCTGGGTCATCCATAGATGCATAAGAATGTACATTTCTTCCTGTCTCTTTAACTTTCATGCAGGCTGCCGCCGCGGCCGCCACACCCAAAGCCAGGCTGCGCGGCATGGCTACGGGAGCGGGGAGGGCGGCCGGAACGCTGGGAGCCAAAAGCAACAGGGATTCGGATACTACTGGGATGTATGTAAGAATTTACAGATTTAGGATCCTGAAATGACGGTGATGGGCTTCCATGGGGTTACAATGGGCTTCAGCACTCAGTTCGTGCGCTTCGGGATTCGGGGCTTGTGGGTTCTCGGGATTTGGGGTGCATTGCCAGAGGGCTTTGGATGTGGAGCTTCGATCGTAGCAATGGAAGTTTGAAACGAAAATCCAAGAATATGTGCTAGGAATGGTTTTCAGAAAACACATATGTATGTAATGCCGGTGGAAGGCTCTGTGCAATCCCGATGTCGCTTGTGTCCGAATGGTGCCGCACTGAAGCATGCAACCATGCCTTGGCTTTACGACGACACAACAAACATATCTAAAGGGCTACATATGATTACACGCGATTTTATAGGGGTTCTATGGGTGTAAAAAGGATATATGGGGGGGAATGGAAACGTAAATGGAAGCTAAATATTCGGTAAACTAGATGGTCCCTACTCCCTAAGTGACAGACTGCGTGGTGATAGGGGGCATGGGATCCCATGGCACTTGCGATTGGCTGGGCGCTATCACAGGAACTTGCCCTTGTTTTTTGTTCTGTATGCTCGAGGCCTAAGGAAGGCGGACAACATGGCAACATGTGCCTGAAACTTTACGGCGCCCAACTTTGGGCCTAAAGCCTAAACAATCAAAATCCCAAAGCCTGTCTTTACAACCAATAACCTAAAACCTTGCCCCAAAGCCCCAGGGGCACCTGCCGCAGCGCCTTTTGCACAATACTATCCGTGGCAGCCTTTGCGGCCTGGGCCTGAGAGACATGGCGCTCTCTAGCCGATGGCTACCATTTGACTATTTGGATGAGTTGTTAATGCTGGTAGTACTGGTATGTCATGCTCATTGCTATAGCTATTCAAAACTCTTATCACTCATGTGGGTTCCAATACTTGCTTGCTGGCCTTGCTGCCATGTCGTGGTACTAGTAGCCGCGGCGGCAACAGCAGCAGCGGTAGGGGGTAGTTGGTGCTGCTGCTACTGGTGTCGCCGAAACAGTTGCAGCTATGATGGTAGTTGTGATGATGCCAGCGGCGGTGCTCGTGCTAGCAGTCATCGCTTTAGCAGCTGTGGCAGTGGCAGTCGCGCTAGCGACAGCACTAGCAGTAGCACCGCAGTAGTACTAGTCCTAGTCGTCGTCGCCGCCACCGTCGTCGTAGCTAGCAGTGGAAGCAGCAGCAGCAACAACAGCAACAACAGTTGTTAGGTGTCAGAATTTGGGCCTTGTAGGATGTTGGCTTCGTGGCTTGTGGTTCTGGGTCTACGGTGTAATGCTTGAGCTTTCAGGGCCTAAGAGGTTTGAGAGAGGTTGTAGGCGAGCACGAGGGTACGTACTTCTGTACAGCAAAGGTGTGAATACTCAACAGGCGTCTGGGTGAAGCCAGCAATCCTCTTCCAATGAGTGGGATGGTGGCAAGCCTTGGAACCAACCTAAGGCACTCTGGCTCAACTTATGAAGTACAAGCAGAGATGGTAGCTGTGGTTGGGGCATCCTTTTGTCTTGATACAGGTCAATGCTCCCCTGCGGTTGGTCCAATGGGCTCTCCTTTCTCAAGTCTGTACTGAGCCTTGAGATTCCTCGGGCTGCTGCAAGTCGTACTCCCACTAAGGAGAATCCTGCATCTTCTATGCAGCACAGCATGTTAAGCTTTGGTAGGCCTAGCCACATCAGATTATGTGAGATCTAGTCTTAACTCCTAGTATCCCCCTTAATAAATCCTGTAATACCCCCCTATATAGTTCAAAGGAGTTTGGATTAGCTGATATACCCATTTGTTGCACCAAGCCTCCTCGACCAAGCTAAAGCTCTGCCTTTGTTACGCGCCCTTGGCTTTTCTACAAATCAATGCTGTGCTATCAGCAAGCCAGCCCCCTGACTGAGCTCTAGAAGATTGCACGGACCACAACTTTGAACCTACACCCCAGCCCCATGTCTGGGCCTAAAAACTACTGCTGCCTCGGCTCCTAGTTTCCATGTCATTTTCCATTTTCTTTTCCATTTGATTCTCCATTAGAGTAGTTCCCATTTCATTTTCCATTATCCCAATATAACCCCTATATTCCCTATCTAACCCCTATAATAGAAGCCTGGGATGCACTGGGTCCCTAGCAACCTGCGAGTTGACCTGACATGTCTCTTTCTGGGGTGTGGGGTCAAGGGATCTAGCGCCATCTTGCGTGTAGGACTTAGGGTTTCAGGGGTGCGGGTGTCGGGGGTTAGGTGCCGATGATTTAGCGTCTTAAGGATTTGGGTTAGGGGCTCTTGCTCTTTCAGGACTCCGACACATGTAAGAAGTTTGTCCAAATTATGGGTCCCTGTTTGGTCCTGGCATGCAACAAGGCTAGCGGTACATGGAGGGCGCTGATCTGGAGAAAGACTCCTATTAGGACGTGCTAACTTAGACCTGAGGGTAGGCCCCTTGGCGAAAACCTAACAGCCCATTCCAGATAGCGAACCTTCACAAAAATTCCCAAACAATCCCCTCGGGGACCCAAACAACATCCGAATACGTACTCCCATGGTTAACTGTGATAGGGTCCCCAAAGGTACGTCCTTTTTGAGCAACTCTAAAGGCCTAAACTAGATGCCCTGCATCCCTAAACCCTTATAAACCCTAAACCCTCTCATCCCCATGTTACCCCCTAAAACCCCCCAAAACCCTTCCTGGCCTGTGTCTCAAGCTCCTTGGCTTGCCCTCGGAGCGCCCTGAGCTCTGAGTCGCATGGGTTTAGTCAATAGGGCAAAATTCCAGGTCCCTTTTGAGGGTATTGCCATGATGCCGGAGGATGCAGGATTGAAAGAGTTCGGGCTGCGCGCTTGCTCTGTGATGCTCAAAAGGCCACTTATTCGACACGACACCTTAGTAGGAGTTTGGGGTTCAGGTTTCAAAGGTTTGAGGGAGGGCAGGCAGATTTGGGAGATCCGGGTTTCACGGCTGCAGGCGTGGACGTTAAGAGGCATTAGGATTAGGGAGCTTGGGGGGTCCAAGGTCAGGACGTATCAAACTAGAATTCGGGTTCTGCGGGCTTCTGAAGCTGAGGATCTGTAGCTCTGTGGGGTCAGGGATGACAAGGGCTCTCATCTTCGGATATTGTTTGGATAGCTCAGCTCATACTACACCTTCGCTGAGTCATTTGTGCCTGGGAGTTGGATGGGGTAGGGTGAGGTCTGCATGTAGAATTCATCAGTCATTTCACTTTCTGCATGTGCCCATGCCCTACATGGCGCACAATGGAGACTTAGGGAAATTCAAAGTACGTGTTCACAGCGGGCAATGCCCCTAGCGTTGTTTTGAACGACACTGGCACATTTCAGGCACAGCCTGATGCAGTCACCCTGCGATTGTTTACCGGCCTTGCCTGCCATCCCTTCTAAGTTACGGCGAGCCCGGTGCCTTGCCGACAATTCGAGCTTCTCTGCATTGGCCAAGTCCTTCGCAAGCGCTTTATTAGGTGAGAGCTTCTGGCTTTAGGACTTTAGGGTTAGTGTTCGGCGTGCTAGGCATCTGTAGTTTAGGAATGCAGGCCCATAGTCTTGGGCTCTTGCCGCAACAGAGACCATCAACACCGACAGCTGTTTTATTGAGAATAAGCATGACAAGGGTCATCACGGCAATCAGAGCAATGCCAGCATCGTGTTGTGGTCCAGCTTGAAGTGGGCCACGATCTGAGTCTCAATATCACTCTAATGGTGCCAGCAGCAAAAATGCCTGAGCTTTAGGAAGTAGAATCTTTGAAGCAAGGACCGCGCAACTAGTACCATATTTATGGTGCAAAAGCATACTTGGGCATAACGTAAGAGGCAGGTTGCATTCCCCTCCACTGACTAAGTCAAACTGTTCAGCGACTCTAATAGTAGATGCACGTGCGGGCCACAAAATACTCCTCCATGCTGCGCCCCTACAGATTGCAGGCACTGACGCCTCCATAGCACAAACATCGCCTCAATCACCCCAAAATCCCAAAGCCCACAACACTCCTCCCGCATGGACGCGAGAGCATCCGCGGCCTTTTTCTCAAAGAGTTCAGCCACAGCCTCAACTCGGAGCTTTGCTTTGCGTTCCATCGAATCAAGAGCTTCACAAAACCAGCCCTTCCGATCTTCTGAACTGAGAGATGCTCATACTTCTCCCCTTACGGAGTGCTTCCATGCTCCCGGATCCAAGCTGGAGCTCAATCTTCGCAAACAGGTACAAGGACTTGAGTAGAATGTAGGGTGTTTGGCCTATAAGGCTCGATTCCTCTAGTCCAACCCTTAGCCCTAATGCTGAAAATTCAGGCTTTCTGGGGCAACCTCAACCTGAACCCAAAACCTACTGTGGTGCTGAAGAATCTGAAATGTCGACCTCAGAGGCCACTCACTTCAGATGCAGTTGATCGAAAGCTGGTCTAGCATGTCTGCAAGAGCATGGTCCCGTTTAGCGACGTTAGAGGGATCATGTGAGCAATCGTTAGAACTCGCAATAACAGATACTAAAGGAAGGAATACTATGAACTGCAAGAAAGACCTCAAAAGCGATCAGAGCCTCGATACCTTTCTCGGGCCACAACAAAACCTATTGCAACACAGACACGCAAGGCAAAATGTCTTTATTGTGTTGTCCCTGTTGAGCCAAGTTTGGCTGGATGTTCCCCATCCTTGGCTTACGTCTTATTCCATTCATTGCCTAGAGCTTAGGGGGTTACACCCTGTGACTAGCGGGCCGAATCTACTTGACGAATCGACACATATCTATCTTACAGCTGTTTAAGCTGGATGTTTCATAAGCTGGGCATCTCCATATTCTGCTTCATGAGTCGGATTCAAATGATGGGAGGAATAACTTCTGCGCTGTGCAGAAAGCTCAAAGGACAGATTTCTCCACGCGATCCCATGCGATCTTTGCGGGGCGCCTCCAATTTGACAACCTCCAATTTGACAACTAACCAAGGGCTCTGGGTAGACCAATGTTGTTGGGGCTGTGATAGGCGTCGATAGACACCTACATAGACCCCATCCTTACACCTAGGCCCCCCCCCGGAGCGAGACGCCCATAGGTAGACCATGGTAGACCCCACAGAACGTGAATTCAAAATCCATAGCCGTAGACCCTCCCAAGTTCAACTTAATTATGACCATCTTAGCATGAGACGCCATGTGAGTTTTGCGCTTCATCCCGGCGACCGACTCTGAACGCAAAAAAACTGACACCGGCACTTGAAATACTCACGCTGATGACCTGACAACCTGTCATTGACAGATCCTGGGAACCAAACACGCTCCGCCGAGTGCTCCGCGCGGACATCAAGACCTTCCTGTCATGGGTGTGCATCGAAGCCAGCGCATGAAAAAGGCCTTGTCATTGTCAGCCCGATTGCGAATCATACCTCTTACATGCTCTTGCCTCGCATCCCGTTCACCCCTAGAAGTCTCTACTAACACCCCCCATGTATTGCCCTTATGGGTACCGCAAGAAAAGGCATGATTCTCTCCTGCCTCCGAGGCAGGAGCTGCTGGTGCTTGCCGCATTGCCTTTCCGGCAGTTCAAACGACAAGTATCATGACCGCAGTGGCAGCAGCAACGCCTCTTTGAAACGGCTGCTGTTGTAGGTCATGGCCATTGTCAGGAGAATGACCACAGCAACAAGCAACAGTCATCATCGTGAAATCGTGCAAATCATAAGGCGGTCAGATCCTTTCTTCTGTGCTCCTGTCTGCTCTTACGGGTGAAAGGCTCTCTCTGCTGTTCTGCCCCTCTGCCCACAGAATCTGCTAGAAGCATGGCATAAACAGAAGACCGTTGGAATCCCGAATTCAAGTGCCACACTGCCTTCCTGTTGGCAAAGCCAATGACCCTACAAAACTCTCTTTTGAGACGTGCCTCTTCGGTCAACTTCTCCGGTTGCAGATCCTGAGAAGATTGAGGGAATGCATAGTTGGGCTTAAAGTTCAACTTAAACTCAGCTCGCCTGGATTTAGCAGCACGTGGGCACATGATCGTGAGCATGCGTCGTTTTTCGGCGCGACATGTTCATATGCTCTGCCGGAAGGTTTCAGTTTTGTCATGAGCCCTTTCTGTAACCTGCAGCCTTCAATCCACCAAAATTTGAGCTTTGTTCCTGTCACGAAAACCTTACGACCCACAAAGGGTGCCCAGAACAGTCTCTTGTGCTTGCATGGTTTTGGCCGTTTTGCTATGAGCGCATTGTCGCTGTTAAAGGATAGCCTCTTTCACATGCAGAATCCCCTGAACCCTGCAGTGGTTTTGAAGGTCCCACTCCAGTCCCTTCCTTCAACCCCATATGAAGAGGTCAATGTCTACCGGCTTTCTGTGTTCATGCACTTTCAAGGAGTCCGTGCAACTTTTGAGGCCAGGATTGAAGTCCTGGTTCCTTGGGTGAAGAAGTGGCCCCAAGTAGCTAAACATGAGCTTGTCTGGCAGCTTTACACGCTGCATTACATTAGTACCAGTCGCTTTTAATAAGCCTGCCCGCCTGGTGGATGTCAACTGCAGCGCTTCTGGGGATGGTGATCACATTTGGAACCTGCAGCTGCCCAAGGTGGCAGAGTCATGGGAAAAGGCGCATATGCAGTTGCTTGTGCAAATGACAACCGAATCCCAAGCACGCCCTGACTTGTTTGACGGATTAGCCTGGCAGGCACAGGATAACAACCTTGATCCCATGAATCGCAGGAATCCCTTGCAAAATGCAAGCACAAAAATCAAACGGCAATCCTCACTACTTCCCCCAAGGGGTCCCTGCGCAAAGCTCGACTGTACTCGCATTTCGCGGGTCCATCAGCACATCACATTTCGTCATCCTAAACATGTTAACGCCCAATACGTCATACATCTTCAGGAGAACGCGTTCTCTTCATCGGGAGATATCCGTGATCAACTCTGAACCCTCATCCAGCGTCCTAAAAAATTCTCACCATGTGCCGCGGGCATTCTACCTGCCAATCGCGCTGTTACTAGCCCAGCCCCGCTGTTGTTGGCAATGAATTTTCTTTCATCACCCAGACCCTGACCTGCAGAGAGGCCTTTGGAGGCTGAAGCGCCGACTCAGCCTTGAAAGTTGTCAGACTTAACCCCAAAAGCATGTATTCTAGATGTGTGAATGCGTTCTTTTTCAGAAGCCCGCCCAAAGCATGAATGTGTTGTCACCCGTGCCTACACCAAACCGGTATTGCATACGACTGCTGTCCTGGTTTCTTGGGGCCATCCACCTTGCGCTAAGCTTGAAACTGTGCAGCCAGTGGCGTGTGGTAGTTACTTAGTTATAGTTATAAGCTCAAGTGATGCATCGGGGGCCTGGTTAATGCAATTCTTCCTGTTAGATCTAGCTTTTGGAGCTGCCTGTTTTTGTTGTGGGGATCTTGGCCCCTGCAAGCCATGGCAAGGAATGTTGGTTGTCCTACATCGTGCCACATTCTACGACTATCACAATATGCCCACCGATTCATCTGGGCAGCGCCCCGCCATAACATGTCATGACCAGAACACGCTGACCCCTGACCACTAAAGAGCAAATCGAACGAGGCTGCGAGACATCACAACTCAGTGTGGTTCTTCTAAGGCACATTCCCAGCTGACTCTGCTCTGAGAAGCCGGCCGGGGCAGCAGCCTGCTAGTGGCGCGGAGCTTTGGAAGTTTTGAAGCTTGCGGTTTGATCTGATTTGGACTTTGCGCTGTCCTTAGATTTCAAGTTGCTGGCCGAAGGCCTCAAGCTATGATCAGGACGATAAGGATTTGAGAAAGCTCTGTTCCTGAGGAGCTTGACGGCTCAGCACCAGGGCTTTGGCTCCTAACATCCTGTAGGGCATCCTGTCAAGGGAAGGGCATGCGCTGAAATGGGCTGGCAAACCTGAAAATACTGAAAACCAAAAACACTTGTCACAAGAAACACCCCAATACCACCGTTCACCTGCATTGCCACACTCTCGGCTTCCATGTATCATGCAAATCGCTCATGCTTCGCTGTCACCTATGTATCAGTTCTGATAATTACAACAGTAAGATAGCAATGGTATTCATTCTGATTGTGACGGCCGTAGCCATCACGCCACCACTACTCTACCAGTGTGAAAGATCAACAGATTTCAAAAGTCATCCAAAAAAGTGCCGGATCAAACATATATTCTTCAAGGACCAACAACAGGTGGAATTGAGGATGTGGGTGTTTGAATACTGCAAACAGCATGGTTCAGAAAATCAAACAAGGATCAAAAAATTACCCATGAAAACAACACAGGACAATGATGACAAATGATAGAAGTGATGAAACATGATCAATCTTGAAAATGATGAGAATGATGAAAATCATGTTAAAAGTACTGAAAGATCATGAAAATGTTGAGAACGATTAGAAACGGTGAAACATGATGAAATAGCTTGAATATGATGAGACATGATGAAAGTTATGAAAAGCCAGGCAAGATGATGAACAATGATGAGCAATGATCAATCATGAAAACCTACGAGAAATATCAAACACGGAATGAAACCGTTGAAATGGTGCAAAATGGTGAAGAATGATGAAAATGAATGGAAATGATGAAAACGATGACAAACCAACAAAAAAGATGATAAATGATGAAGATTGTGAAAATGATGAAACAACGTAATCTGACGAAATCTGACGAGGGTGATGGAAACTCTTCAAAACTGATGAGAGATGAAGATAATGACGCAAAATGCTGGAAAAGTCATGACATACCATGAAACAATGTGTTCATGGAACAGTTTCAGAAGTGATCCATAATTAGGACAGACGGTGATAAAAAGGAACATGATGACAGACGCGTGCGTGAATGTGCTTTGTAAGCAGCCGGGGGGATTGGGGAGGCACAGACCCCCCATTTGCAAAACCCAGACAAAGATCAGACCATGTGCTTTCTTCCGCCGCGCTTGTTCAGGCAATGTGATGTGATTAATGATGAGAAGGGGATGACATAGTGGAACACAGTGAAAAATGACAAATAATGTCATGAAAACTAATGTCACCTAATGGAAATGAGGAGAAAGCGACAACATCATGAATGATGATGAAAACTATTCGAGAGTCATGAAAATAATGAGACTGATGAAGAATGAGGAAAAATTATGAACAATGAGCCTATTGAAAAAAATGAGAGATGTGAGAACATATGGAAAATGTTGCAAATGATGAAAAGCAGGTGGAAACGTATGAAAATGATGAAAACCGTGAACGAATCATGAAACATATGCGCATGGATCAAGATCATGAAAACGGATGAAAATTTATGGAAGATGATCAAAAATCTGAAAGTGATGGCAAATGATGGAAGACGATGAAGCAACCCTGATGAATGATGAAAAGTTGGAAAAACCGATGCCAAATAAAAATGATGAGTATGATAAAGATGATGAAAATTATGAATGAAAACTGATGCAAACCGTTGTTTCGATGAAGCAGTCTTCCTTGCTTACTTCCATACTTCCTTTTCTTTCCTTCCTTCCTTCCTTCCGGGGTTCCTTCAAAAATGTGCGGAGCTCCACGCACGACGCGCGACCTCAATTTCCTGGATTTGAATTTTTGCTTGGTCCTCATTTATTTCTCTTGATCCTTGTTTACTTGTTTGCTCCTTGTGCAAGTTGTTGTTCATCAACTTCCCGGTCTAACATCACTTATGATCACTTTCAAAAACGTGATGACAATGCTGGCACTCGCGCAAACCTAATTAAGATTATCATCGTCTTCCAAGCCGCTAAACCCTAAACCCTAAACCGCCCCACTCCCCATTATGAACCCAATATAAGCCCAATATAACCCTAGTAGAACCCCAATAACCCCAAAGCTTATGCCAGAGCCTGGCCCAGGGATGCAGATGGCGCGGAGGGTGTAGCATCTGAGGCGTTGGAAGATGGGGCTTTGAGTGTACGAAAGTTGATTCCCAACTTCTACTGCGAGATCTTGCAAGGGGATTTTGAGGAATTAAGCAGGAGTATACTGGAGAGATTTCGATTAGAAGGCCTACAGCTTGCATTTTGCCTCTTGGCTTCCTTGTAAAGTCCGCGACTGCTGCATTGTATGAGGCTGCTTGAACTGCTAGTTCTCAGGCCCATCGCCATATCTGCTAACAAGACCCGCTGGAGAGCGCGACTGTTCAAGCTGAGTCCTAACTCCCAAGCCCAAGAAATGTCTATCCGCTCTCCGCATTTGACTGGATCAGCTTGTCACCAAGAGCCATGTACATACCTTCATAGGCTTGCAACTGCCCTCTTCTACAGAACTCCATGCTCCGTGGCATGACCCCTGAATATGTTGAGGGCCTGAAAAATTTGCCGATACCCAGCCTACGGGAATTCGCAAGATTAAGGTCGCACCTCAGCCTGCTTGGGAACTCATTTATCACCTGCCGGGCCTCTCAGATAATGATAGATACTGACCTCTAAATCTAGTTGCAACCTCAGTTGCTATGGGCGTTGCCTGAGGTTAGCGTCGGCCCTTAAACTAACCTCTTCGGGTACCATTTACTAAAGAGGGACGGGTACCATTTACTAAAGAGGGACTACTACCCAAGGCGAGACGATCAAGAAGCCTGTTAAAAAGTATTCAGATTCTGCGCGCCTGCAGCTGCAGATGCTTGCAGAGTTCGGCGAATCTCATCGGCCTTGAGCGAACGGTGGTCTGGCATCCTGAGCTTATGAAACTACCATCCACAGCAAGTTGGGACCTCAAAAGGCGGTACTTCTGCCACCTAATATGTATCATGTCGGAGGGGCCGCCCCATCTCAGGAACATGCAACACTACACCCACCTGACCTCCAGAACGCCATCTCCGTTCAAGTCCAGGCTGAGGAACTCCTGTGAAAAACTGCAGGTTGGTAGCGATGCTTGTAGATCCTAACTCTTGTAACCGGGTTTCCTGACTTGTTCCTCGGTGCCACTTTTGAAACTTTCGCCATGGGTCTTGGATCACAAGTGCAGGCGCGTCCTGGTGAATTTGGTCCGGGGTCATCCCCTGCAAACGTGTCATGCAAGGTGTCGCAGCGTGTGTCCATGCCCGGCATTACTGCTTTCAGGGTGTAATGCCTTGACAGGCGTTACGTCTCTTCCCAGGTTCAATCTGTGCATGGGGACCTCTTGCAGTGCATCGATGCAAGTTTACAGCGGCCGGGGGGGACCATGAGCTTCAGAAACATTCCTTAATGCGGCTTCAGCAGCAACGCCTTTGAGCGCGCAAAGGACTCCAGCTCATTCTGCTCAACCTGCAGCCGGCGGCGGCATCAATCTGTGCGATGTGTGCTGAAGCCTGGGGTTCTTGTGCTCTGGAGACTGCTGACAGAAGGGGGCGCTGGTTTTGTGAACTTCCGCATTAGAACTCCCCATTTTGATGGAAAGGCATGGGGAGATGACCCTTCATGGGAAAAGAAGGCGGTGCCTGGGATGATAGACTCTTGTCACATGTGAGGCTCTCAACTACTAATAATGGTGTAGCAACCGTTTCAAGATCATGTTTCATGATTCCTCTTGCCAACACCGTACAGACTTCACTCTGCCTTGCCCGACTTATCCACGTCCAGCTCCTGAAGGGCCTCAGCTTTGAGGGCTTCAGAGCATGTTTTCTGCATCCACGTGTTTGTCGCTTGGGCTTCAGCGTTCAGGGTCACAGTCTAGATTCTTAAGTGCGGTGATAAGCAGCGCCTATAGCTGAAGTGTTTTGAAGGGTTACGAAGCTGGGATTTGGCATTGCGTTCGAAATCAGAATGTTGAGGTATACTGATGGCTCACATAGAAGCGGAGAAAACTCCCGCGTCTCCAGCACAATCAAAGGACTGGTCATCCCCTCTGCAACCCTCAGACAAGTCTGTGAGTTTCGTAAACACGGAGACATCAGGCTCATTGTTTCGTGGGTTGAGAAACTAGGACCTTGCAAACAAGATGGCGAAGCTCAGGCCTCACTCACAAGCCATCAGTGGTACAAAATTGCTGTCAGAATGTCTGGCTCTTACTCAGTCTCATTATCGTATCGCCTCTTGCGATCCTCAGATCATGATTGGTACTAAGTCCTCTTCTATTGATCCAAAATTCTATGCTAGCTCTTCCCCATGTACCACCCCGCGTTTTACTGAATCCTATTACATATCTCTCCGGTCACCCGTATGAAATCCCACGATGACCCGCTTGCACGCCACCCTTTTACTTGGAGATTCCACAGCAATCCTCTGAACCTCCAAGCCTACAAGCCGGCGTAATATTCTAAACCCTGAAAGCATAAAGCAACCCCTAACCGTGCAGATCCAAACGCAAACCCTGTGCCTTGAATCCTAACGCCACCGTATAACAATCCCACATGACCCCTGTTCAGAGTAGAATAGTGCTACAATTGCAGTATTTGAGGGGTCTTCTGGGGCGGGTGCAGCAGCCAACTTATAACGCCCTATAGCGCAAAGGCCTAAACAAGTGCCAAGACTAGGGTTTAAGAATCTTCTGCTGCACGTATAATATGGGTTGTGACGGGAGAATTTCTAACGGGAGCATGTTGCTAATCATTCTGGCTCCAGAACCCCAAACCCTAAACCCTCCAAAGTGACCTCCTCCTCGGGGCTGGCCTTTTTGCGCGCCTTGCAAACGGGGCGAGGTCAGGGAACCGGATCACTTGGATGCTGCCCCCACCCTCCTTATCAAGGGGTATGATGTACTGCTTCAATACTCGGAGTGGTGGGGACAACATCCAAGCCACAATCATCCCTAGGGCCTCTTTTACAGTAGTATTAAGTATCTCTGGTGTGATACTAGGATCCATACTTGATAAAAGGAAAATCCTACCAGAAAGAGTATTGGATGTCTGGTGTTTTCCACTGTTGTGAGACAGCACCCACACACACATGCATAGCGTATCTCGTTAGATACACCAATCAAGTACAGTCTGCCACATTTTAGAGTCTGTGTGGCTGGCCAGGCTTGTTGGCTAGGAGTCTTGTCCCAGATTGAAATGGTCCGAAGGCAAACGGCAAGTGATTTCTATCATGGGATATGTATAAAACATCAGTAAAAGAGGTCAACATAGAAAGCAAACCTGTTGTCCACGCTTCTGAGGGAGTTCAAGGTCATAATTGTCATACCTGTCAGCTAGATTTGTTCCAATTGGCTCAACAAGAGCATCTTCGCCCAAAACAAATCTTGGACGGGCTTGTTAAAACGCAGCTGATGACCATAGGACTTGCGCGGCCTCTGCCGCGAAGGTGAGGACCACAGCCACGGCAAATGCCCAGCGCATGGTTTCCTTGGATGCAGACAATCATGAAATGATACGTCATTCAGCGGCATGCGTAAGGCAAGCCCGGATTGCTCAAGAATGCCTAACCTTTGGTCCAGTCTCGCAAGCCGGACAGCACGCGTTACAACAAGCTTAGTGGATGTTAGTTTGACTGTTCACGCCCAAGGGCGCGGCGCAACTTCAGTCAGCGCAGCCGCCACGGATGAAACAAAGTATGGATTCTTCACAACCCTAAACAAGCATGTGAACCAACTTCATTACGTCCCTGCACAAGCTACACCTCCAATTACTCGAGCAGTCATCTTGTGGCCCAAGAGCCCATCTACATGCAATTGCAGTCCGGCCCGGAGTTCTGGCTCGGGTGCGAAGATTAGTGGAAAGACTCGTTCTCTGATGCTAAGGCAGGGCTTGAGCAGCAGCGGACAGGAGCACTTGATATCATCGGCCTCGGTTTATGAATGGTGCTGTGGGCGGACTTCATACCTGGATCAAGGCTTCAGCACATTGGCCGACCTAGCAAATTTGGGTCCGACTATGTGGCGAAATCAAGGTCTCTCTCTCGAGTAGCTATCGGCCTCGCATCTCACAGCCCAGATTTGTCGAACTGGAGTTGGACTGTGAGTACTGTGTCAGGTTTTGGATATTCAACGAATGTTCTTCTAGGACGCCAAAGAACACTACCGCCAATACGTATACAGTCTCAGGCTTTCAAAGAAGCCCCCAACTTGTACGTCAACATCATGCCATGCTCGGCACAGCAGCGCAAAGCTTCTGAAGGAGGAAGGTCCAGCGCACCCCAAGGAATCATCCAGACCCGCAAGGATGAGCGGCGCCATATCCTAGCGAAGAAGCTCCGATGAGCTTTCAGGATTAGGCTCCACTTGAGATCCCGGGTCCTAGCGTCGGAATCCACATCAATCTTTGCTTAAAAAGCGTGCGGACTCAAAGCTTCAAACTCAAACGTCCCATGGCAACAGCTCTACTCACGGTACATGAACTGACGCATTCTGTGAGACCCCCAAATCTCATCCGCTACACTGAATTGGGCCACGTGATGAGTGGAGCTTGGGATCCCTCACGGGCTTTCAGTACCTACTAACATCACCGCACACTGCTCCACGCGGCTTGCGTCATTGTCAGCACGATGCAAAAATGAAGCTGCTACATGCTTAAAACAGATGAAGACTTGCCAAGATGTGTGCTTGCAATGTCGCCGGTGCACTGTTCAAGGGTTTAACGTCTCTTCTCCGATATGGCCACATACGCTGCAAACTCGGGCAGGTTTCAAGCTGCACGCCCGGTTTCTGGCCTCGGCTGTCCACGAATCCTCAGACGAGCGAGGGTCTTCCTGGAAAGGCTAGGCGGAACACGTCATGGGATCACCTCACATACTGCTCCTGTTGGGGAAGCTCTGATAAACCCTGCTCCGAAACCGTATACAAGATCACGCAGGTGACGCTTGCGCAGTGTACCGCGAGCCTCTCTTCGCCGGGCTGGGAAGTGCTCAGACAGCACACAAGCCGTGTCGATAACGCCAAAATGCACCTGCAGGACCAGCAACGCAGAACAAGGTGTCCCAAGCATGCTGTAGTCTCGAACATTAGTCGAACATCATGGGAACTGCTAGTTCTAGAAATGACCTCCATTCTGGCGCAGATAGAAAGATGCAGTGAACACATTTTCGCCAGTCCAGCTGATGAGGCAGAACAACACACACACACACACACACACACAACTACGGGAGTCGGGAGTCACAGGGTACTTTATCTATTGGCTTCCTGTCTTGCGCCTGTCACGCTCAGAGTCCCAAATGTGTGGGGCTTTGATGCAGGGTTGGAGCTTGAGGCCAACAGTCAAAAGCCGTCGTTGCAGCTCTCTTTCAGATTCAGAAGTTCGAATGAGCAACTCCCAAGCCCATTAATCTCACTGGCCTGTCCCTGAAAGGGGCGCAAGAAGGAATGACAATTTAGCTTTGACTAATGAACCTATGGACATGCTGTTTGCCCTTCGATGATGGAGCCTTGATCCTGCTTTGAGGTCTTTGTTCTTCTGCTCTCAAGGCTCCATGCCCATGGCCCGAATCCAAAATGCGCCAGGCAGTTTTTCAGTTGGTCGAAAGTTGCATCTCAAACGTGAAGCCTCGAGTGCTAGAATGTATGCGGGAGCTGGGGGCGACAGGCAAGAGCATTGAAGAACATGGCATGACAAATTGTGGGAACGCCAGAACATGATGATTGCTGCTAGATTAGGTGCTTACCTTGCACGTCCGGCAGCGGAATGCCTCGAACTTGATTTTCCTTCTTTGCGAAGTATATGATGGAGTATTGACATCCACACTAGCGTCTGCAGTTTTTCTGCGGTTTGATGCGTCGAAGTGTCAATACCATCTTAAAAACACCATAGGAATGGCGTTGATGAGGATGCTTGCGTTCAAAACGATCTCTTCCGCAGCGAACTTGACAGAGATCATCTCCACTCCAAGCTGGCTGTTCAGACAATCATCACTATTTGCTTCCACAATTTCCACATATTTACCTTGCAGTTCCGTACTGAGGCACAGATGCTAGCACAGGATTGAAACCTGAAAATGCTGCTGCTCATCATATGTCGTGCGGCTTGTGTAGATGATACAGGATGAGCTTCTTGGAGCAGACTTTGAGTTTACAAAGCAGTTTATAGAGGGTTTGTAAACAGTTCTCGAACCCCCGGATCGAGCCAGGAAAAATGGTTGAATGAACCCTTTTTGTAGCAACAAACTAAAGAATTTCTACAAAAACGGGAAAAATGCACCCCTCAACTTGAAACCAAAATTCCCCACCCTGATCAACCTTGATCAGGGAGCAGTAGAGGACCCAAGCCTCACCCCATGGCCTTCGTTCGCTCACCGCCTTTCTGGCTCGACTGGAGCTTACTCCGCAGGCTAGCTAAAACCTGAGCCGAACCTGGGCAACGCTTTGCAAGCAAGGTCCAGTGGTCCAGAGTTGAACGGTATTTAGGCTACAGGCCCTTGGTTGCTACAATTCATGTTGGTGACTCCGTCCTCATGCCGCCGTTTGAGGCATTCGGCTCAAGTAGCTGTAGTTGAAGCGGGGGGTTGGTACTGACTAGCCAGCATCCACGGCCCCAAGTGTCAGCCTTCGCGGAAAGCCAAACACCCTGGCCAAACCGGCTCCAGCCGGGAGGTAGTTGTCTGTCTGCCACAGGTCCCCTCATCCCAAGACGGATCAGGGGTCACGACTGTCATCCCCGTGTTGCTAATTCATGGAATGACTGTCATGTATATATGTCCTCAACGTACTCAGGCCTTGGGCAGCGGATCCCATACCATCAAACACACATGCTTTTGAAACATGGGCGCTTCTCAAATACTGCTGGGCCAGACTTGACTTAGGCTTGCACATCGCAAGTTCTGCAGGGATCGCACTATCATGAGGACCCCCTAAACAGGACCTCCAAACAAAGAGCCCTGCAGCTGTTCACAACAAGCTGTGAGAGCTCAGGCAGCAACCTAAAAGTCGCTGCGCAGAGAAAATGATGCACCTGCCATCTTTGATACAGTAGGTAAAGCTCAGAGCGTAATGTGATCAGAGAGCTTTCAGGCCATGCGCTCACAGAGCACATCCGACCAACTCTTTGGGAAGTAAGAAGGAGCGGCCTTCGGAAGCCCCTAAAAGCGGGTAAAGCTTCACTGGCCCGGTTCCGAAGCCCTATCTTTGCTGCGTGAATCTTCCAAACTCGTAGCTCCCTGATGTTAAAGCCACTGCCACCAGAAGCAGTCTGTCAGCAAATCTAATTCAGAGCAGCCCCAAATTCCCTGTCAACTACCTCACAGCCACCCAAAGCCAACCTCCGCGAGGCTTCGTGGAGGCGGATGTTCGAGTCACCCACCCTGTGCGCAGACTCAACCATGTTGTGAAACATGCTCCATTTCAACGTAGCCATTGTCGAATGGATAGAACTTTGGCAGGTTGCAGTCTCAGCTGTAACTGGACATGCCCATCCGGTATACTCAAGGCCATACTTAGTAAGAATGGCTACGCCTGTGCCGGCAAGAATGGAAGTCATTCAGGAATTTTTGTGCTTGCCCTCTGCATGTTCAAGGTAGAGAGACATCTTGGGCATTTGGTGTCTAATCCAAGTGCGGCGCTTCTGACTTTCGCGGTCGGGATCCTAATGCATGTTTAAACAAAAGCTCCCCAGCCCAGCTGCAGGTTTCAGCTTTTGGAAAATCTGTGGAATCATGGCTTGGCTGAGGAATTTGAGGCCAGTCCAAGTGCTTCAAGCTCCCAAAAATGGCTTCGACCCCAGGTTCGGAGACAGTTCAGGGTTTGGGGTCAAGCCACGCGCGGGAGTGGCCGGTAGTAAGATCAAGTAAAGGCTTTGGATCATCTGCCTTCTGGATATCCCGAACTCCTGTGCAAAAACAACATACTACACAGAGACAAACCGTGTAGTCCAGCATTCAAGCGACGCGAAAGACCCCACATCACGCAGTGCTCCAGCTGCACCTGTCTATCAGAGGCTCCAGGAGCGCGGTCGCTGCCACTTTGACCTCTGCCTGCAAGATTTCCCAGAAGCCCAATAATCTTTATAAGGCGTAGTAGTCGATGGTCCAGGGAAAAGGGGGTCCAAGAGCAATCTACAACCTATAAAGAACACAAGCCAGTAAAGTAATGGAGTTGAGTTCCCGGAATTCTGGAAAGAAAACCCAAACCGCGCGGTGCCACTACTTGCTCAAGGAGAGCCGAGAAACGCGGCCAGTGGGGCTGCGCAAGTGCCAAGACCTGTACGTGTCTGTCCAGCAGCCTCGCACAAAATCCGAAAGGAAAAGAGGACTGGCACGGGATGCGGCGAAGCCGCCGCGGGAACCACGGCCCCGGCCCAGAGTGTGGCTATGACGCCCCCCGCCAGTCAGGCTGGGGTCAGAGAAAAGACTGTGAAAGAATGGATGAAAGCACTCAAGGGTCGGACAGCATGGGGGATCTCAGGTCTTCTACCGC